TTTTCCATAAGGTCCTTGTTCATCTCAAAAGGCCAGTAGTCCTCATAGTACCTCTGCAGTTCTGGGGACATGGTTGCCACCATGATGCACGCTACTTTGGTAGCATCATCGTAATGTTTCTTGTAGGCAGCAAGATCTTCAGGAGTAGCTTCAGACTCATCAAGCTCTTTGAGCTCCTTTTCAAGAACATATTCTTTGTTCTCAAAACGAAGAGCCATCTTGATGTTGCGCATCCAATCGTTATAGTTTGAGCCATCCATAACGACTTTGGAGCAGATATTGAGCAAGAGAAGTTCTGGTTGGAGGAGGATGAAGCAGAAGTGTTTTCCAGGAGTAGACATCTGAAAAAAAAAGAAAGTTTTAGTTAGATTTCAAGATACCTCAATATAATAACCCAAAGATAAAATATCAAGGTTAGGATCCAACTATGAAGATTCACAACTTAGAAATGGGATGCCGAGATCCAAGTGTAAATTTCATAAAGGTAGGTGAATGACGATTCACCAATTCCACCATTAGACGAAACAAACGAAGTGAAATTCCTAATTCTTTTGAGATACATTGAAACTATTCAATGGCATGTTTTAATCTCAGATTATGCTCTTCTATTTGTAACTGGGATGCCGAGGATCACAAACAAGATGTGAATAACCATGCAAATGTGCTTGGTAACCTCATTGTCTTTATCATTAACTATTGATGTGTTGGTAAACCACACACGCTCCATCAAAATGACAATTATGAGATACCCATTACTACTCTTTATTAGTGCCCTTTAGTGTGCTGGTTAACCACAACGCTCCACTAACGACCAATAAAGCATAATGTGCAATTTCATGGATTAGCATACTTTTCACATTTTTCCTAAAGTAACTAGAGTTGGGATTTTAAAAATAATGTTCTAGTACTTTCTTTAATGTCATTATACTTTTAATGAGAAGTAGTTGTCCTATCAAATCCGTTCTGCTAACGACCCTCCACTAATCAAGGAAGCGGTGGGTGAGAGTGGACACTCATTCAACTACCATTTTATAGGCAGTTTCCTTATACCCCCCCCTTATAGATTAGCTTCGTGAATGAGGCATACTAGCGATTTGACTGACCATATTCTTATACATATATAATATTAAACTTTTAATCATAATACATATATAGGGTGTGTTTAAAACATTTTAAAACTTCAGGGTTTATATAAATTCGAAATTCAAACTATTAAATTTAAATTTAAATAAACCATTAACTAGATTTAATATTTATCTTTTAATTAACTATTAATCAAATATTAAATCTTGTAAGGATTATCTAATTAAATTAATCAATTAATTTAATCCTAATCCTTATCCCTCTAAATTTCGAAAAATAGGGTAAGGATAATTATCCAATTAATCTAATTAAGTAACAATTATCCAAAACAAGAAACCCTAAAACTTCTAGCAATTTCGAAATTTACAAGGGAGGAGGCTAGGGTTTTCAAAACCCTAACCCTAATTTCGATTAGGGTTCTTTGGAGGCTAGGGTTTTCGAAAAAACCCTTTTATCCAAACCCTAGAAATCGAAAATTTGGCCTTTAGGGTTTAATAGCTATAAACCCTAATTTGCAATTCAACAATTATAGCAATTCAATTTAAAACAAACAATGGCTCTGATACCACTGATGGGTTTTAGGTAGAACAAATAAACTAGAAAACAATTCCTAAGTTCACATGCAACCTACTTTGGATCTATGTTTTAACTATTGAACATAAACTTTGAATTGCAAAACAAGAACCCTAGAGGAGAGAGGCTAATTTCGAAATTAACAAACTAGGGTTTAGGAGTTACATACCTTTCAATTGTTATAGCAAACAATTGATAATCCTCTTGATCTTGATCTTGATCTTCTTGGAAGCTTAGCACCACAAATGTAATGCCTCTAATGGAATCACACCCAAGAACTATCAAGAAGGAAACTTGGAGGAGAGAGGATGGAGAGAGTATGCAATTTCGGCCTTAGGGTTTCTTCCAAAGAAATCAGTGACCTCAAATGTGAGCCAGGAGGCTCCTTAAATAGCTGAGGGATCTAGGGGTTTAGGGAAAACCCTAGTTATCCTTTGCTTAGGGCCTAAGCAAGATCCAAAGGCCTTATTTGGACCCCTTGGACGAAATCTCTAGGGTTTCCCCTAAGAATTTCGTCCACCTCCTTCCAAGGGGGTTCTGGAACCTTCCACTCAACTATTAGTTAATTGCAAACTAGTCCCTACACTTTATAATTAATTCTTTTAACCCCAAAATTAATTCTGATTAATTTCTGGCTAACTATTAATTAAACATAATGATTTCTAATTAATATATTAATCTTTTAATATATTAATAAATCATTTATATTAATTCATTAATCTTATAAATTAATATCTCTCCTTTCATAATTTCCTTGTCCAGTTGCTAGGTTGAGGGCAACCCAAAAGGACTGTGCTGCTATCAATTCAAGTACATACCAATTATAGTTATGGGCTTAGACACCTAATCCAACAGATATAACACATAAAGTTACAAACTTTACGTGCATGCATGGGTGTCATGAAGCTAAAACACCAAACTAAGCCATAAAGGAGTTCTAATGCATGGGATAGGGCCATAGCTCAATAAAGGTGGCCACTTTGAGCTTCCTGAGCCCAAAAGTTCCGAGATCTGAAATCATTACTCTATTATGCACTCAAATCCTGAGAGTGACTTAGAAATGGCCCAAAAACGACAAGATGCAAGCCCTAAAGAAGATCTAAGTGATGGAAAGCCAAGGTTGAAGCTTTTTACCTCAAACAAACTGGAAATGCCACCAAAACTCTGGATCTATTGCCTTCTTCTTGAACCTCCAAGCCTTTCCTTCCTTCTCCAAGCTTCAAATCACTAAAATGGCACAAAATAGCTCAAGAACACTCACAAACTGATTAGGGTTTCGAGAATAAGGTCTGAGGGTGATGGAGGCTGGAGTGGAGGCCATATAAGGTGTTTAAATAGGGTGCAAACCCTAAAATTTAGGGTTTCATTCAGACAGATCTACTTGTCGAGTCGGGGCTTCCGACTCGTCGAGTAGACTCTTCCACCCGCGTCCAAGATTAGCCCCTACTCGACGAGTTTGGGTCCACCAACTCGTCAAGTCCCAATATAAAAATGTAAAACTCATATTTAAAATACGTACCGGGGACCGGGCGTTACAATGAGTAGTTGTCAATATAGGGTTACAACAGGGCCGGCCCAACACATGGGCGAGTGGGGTAAAGGCCCAGGGCAGCAAGCTGGGAAGGGGCATCATCTTAAGCCTGGTACTTGTAGTATGTATAAAATTTAGCCCAAACTTAAATGTGGCCCAAAGCTTTGGAAATCCTTAATCAGTTCAACGACATAGGGTGGGCGCTAGATTTGAGAGACGGATGCACGCCAGCCACTCTTGCACAATAGACGAGAATCGCTTCGATTCTTGAGCATCGATTGATTTCACTACAGCCGCATCACATATAGTGGTTTGATGGAGTAGAGAGGACGTCAGGACTCAAGACGAGACTCATGGCTGCTTTCGATATCCAGGCTCCAACATTCAAGATAAAAAAAATAGAAAAATCAATATCCCATCCTCTTTTTCCTTTGATTTATTTTTATCTGTTATCTAATCTGATTTCCTAAGTGCAGTCTTGCTAATTAATTGATTTCTGGAGATCGGATTGTCGGAGCTTCTGTGGAGACTTGAGAAGCGGAGATGGAAGAAGAACATTGAGTGTTCTTGATGCTATTTGGAAATGAGAAGGGGCATCTAGTTTTTCAAGGCCAATTAAAGTGCAATAAGGCACATGTGTTTAATTTTATGTTTTTAACGAAATATATTTGTGTCAAGGGACTCAAGGTTTTTTTTTTTTTTGACTTTGAATAGTGGTTTAATGTTAACAGTAAAAAGAATATTACATACTCAGATTCGATTTTGATAAGTGTTATAAGCAAAAGTAGTTGTTTTTGAGTTTGTTACTATTATGGCTATGCTATTTCTAGTTTTGAAGTTATTGTTATTGTTACCAAAACTATTGAAGGTCCGGTTTTGATCCTATAAATTCTGACCTCACCCACTTTTGAAACACAAATGAGTAAGGGTCCGGTTAATGGACAGTGATTAATAAACCATGTTTTATATTCGTTTACCTACATGTTTTCTTAGCAAATATAAAACAGGGGCATAATTTTCTTATCTCGCCCTGGGCATGGAAAAACATTGGACCGGCCCTGGGTTACAATACGTAAAAAACACAACATTGCTATGAAACAACTTAAAAATGCAAAATGTACTCGAGAATATGGTCTTGAACCGTTTTTTATTGTAAATTTGTATTTGAATAAGAAAGATTAATAATCACTTATTTGCGTTATTGTCATTTCCTCCTTCTGGACAAAGAATTATGATGATCTTTGAGCATAGTTCGCGTATAAAGCGACATTCTACATACAATAATGACCTTATATATATGTTTGTCTCTCACTCGCCGAGTGGTGGTATAAAAGTTCTGATGTGTGTCGTCATTTTACTAAATAAGAAGAAAAATTGCACGGCCGAAGATATAGTCATTTTATTTTATAGGCAAACAAAGTTTCTTTTCTTTTTCTTTTTTTTTTTTTTTTGAAAGAAAACTTTCCTAGGGAGGGTTTTCGGACTAGCTTTCGCGCACTGAGTAATCCCCCGCTGCAAACATGAAGTTATGCTTCATGCCGTGGAGTCATTGCAGACGAACCTTCATAGCCACAAGGGCCGAGTAGGGAAACAAGCAAAGTTACATATAAAGAAACATTCTTTTTGTTTTGATTATGAAAAAAAAAACAATTTCAAAAAATAAAAATTAAAAAATTAATCAAATAAAAACCATATATACAACAAGTAAATTTTTTGTTTGAAATTTTGTCGGAGAAATTTTCCCATCCACATGGGCCACATTGATCGACGGCTAAAAAGAAGTGTCCAAAGTCCCTACAAAGAACCCATATAAAATCTGCCATTCCTCAGTCCTCAGTCCTCACACTCATACAAACTCCTAATACAACTCCTAATAAGTCCTACCATTCTCACTCAGACCATATCACAAACACCTTCACGACAACCCATCAAAACCTCTTGCACAATACAAATCACCATGGCTAGATCTCAACAACGATACAGAGGAGTTCGACAAAGACATTGGGGATCTTGGGTCTCCGAAATTCGCCACCCTATCCTGTAAATTTCTAATCTCGATGCCTCTCATTTCAAACACGACAACTGAATCTTGGTGCTAGCTAGGCATAATTCTGAAACATTTTCGTTTTCTAATCTTTACATTTGTGCTAACAGGAAGACAAGAATCTGGCTAGGGACATTCGAGACAGCAGAGGATGCAGCAAGAGCATACGACGAAGCGGCTAGGTTCATGTGTGGTACAAGAGCGCGAACAAACTTCGAAGGTTCGCAGTCATCTTCTTCAAAGCTACTGTCTGCAACTTTAAGAGCAAAATTACATAAATGCCACATGACATCTCTTGCAATGACGAAGAAAACAGAAGTGAGTAACCAAGAAGATCAACAGACTCATCAGCGGTCTCCCTGCTCTGATACAGGGGACGAGTTCATGGAGAACAGGGGCAATTTCGGGAATATTGTGAATTGGGAGGGTCAAATGGAGAATATGCAACAGTACAAGTCTTCTGAAGATGAGCATATAGAGCAAATGATCCAGGAGTTACTTGATTATGGAACAATCGAGTTTTGTTCTGTTGTGCAAAACTAAACGAATATCTTTCTTTTAGTCTACAAAATGACACCGTTCATGCACACTTATTATTAAATACTGTGCTGGGAAATACCGAGCGACATATATATATATATATATATATATATATATATATATATATATATATATATATATATATATATATTATATATATATATGTGATTAGTGAAGCCTCGAGTATCAATCACTTCCTTGAGATCGAACGAAAAAAATCACCATTTTAGAAAAAATCAAGCAAATACAGTAGGGGGGATAATTTTGTAATTTTCATCATGGTTGATTTCACTCTTTGTACCAAAAATAAATAATTGAGTACTTGAGTTATGATTTTGGGTATTACAAAATTTGTTAAAAGATACTAATTTTGCATGTTATGATGTCTAATATTATACTTCAGGACATGTTAAAAGACACTGACCTTATGATTATATTGTCGTGACTTTTATCTCATGTATATGATTATTTTAGTATTGCAAACAAAACTGTTCCAAAAGATTCTAGATGATTGATTGCAAATTATACTCTAATTGGTATCACTATCGATAAACATGTAATGATGTGGATATAGGAGTGATAATAAAAAGTTTGACACATTCCATAAGAACCTCGGACAGCAATTTTAGATACCAAAAATGTTTGCTCTTTCGACAAAGTTTTGCGTAAAATCATATATGTTGTTCAATATTCGTTAAGGGTCGAAGTGGTATGAATGTCATGGGTGATAAACTTTTTTTTTTTCTTCCATTAAATGTTTTATAAGTAAGTATTAAATGGATAAATGATTTATTTTGTAATGCAACATGTGTTATATATGTAATGTTTCTTTTATAGACCGGCCGAACATGAAAAAATGAAAATGATTATGTGATTTTTTTTGGCCAGAAATGACATCGTATAACAAATAATTATTTATCCGAAAACTGTTATAAATTATTAAAATTGTAAAATGATAATGTTAATATAAATCTAAAAATCCAAAAATAAACCTATAGTAATTCCTGAATGTATAAGAACCATATAGGATTCAGGTCTTATCACATAATAATATTTTTAATATTCATGAAATTCAATTAAATCGGGATTTCAGAATCCATTGCATGATGAATTTGGTTGATAGATCAATGGAATTCAATCCTAACGAAATTCGTCAAATACTATATTTGATGGTTTTCTCCATTCCTCATAAAAATAGAAGGAATTCAATGCCTAATGAAATATTATGAATATTTATATATAAATAAAAGGTAAAAAATAGAAGGAATTCAATGCCTAATGAACTATTATGAATATTTATATCTAAATAAAACGTTAAAAATGTATATTTAATATTGAATTTCAATTTATTTCTAACAACAAGATGCTTGATGGATTATTATTCCTCCAAATTTCAATTGTTTCGCATTGGCCATTGTTCTCTTATAATATTAGATTGAATTTAAAAATATATTATAGATCACTATTAATAAAATATGTATAATATATTAAAATAAACTTTCTCCATCAACATCGATAACTATATATCCTTTATTTGGGGATCTTAACAAAGCATATGATGAAGTAACTTGAAAAAGAGACGTTAATATGAACAAGACTAGAGAATAAATGGCTCAATTTCATCATCTCTTTTAAGTGGTCTCAACTCTACTTTCGATCGGATAATGACATTTTTCTTTTTCCTATAGTTTTTGGCTATTCGACCTTTTTCTTAAAATAACCAATAAATTACATAAAAAAATATCCTTTTTTCTTAATATTTGTAGCATTATTTCCTTTTTAGAATTAAAATGAACCGTTATGTGTTTACCAATCTTTATAAACCATTCATGCTGAAAATTTCATTATTCTATCCGGTGGCAAACTCGAAAAAAAAAAAATTGGGATAACATATCTAATTTTAGGGGTAACACGCCATGAAATTTATAAAATATCAAAAAAATTCTCAAAAAATTTTCACTACACCGAAAAATTCAAGGGGTAACAACGTTACCCTGACCTTCCACTAAAGTCTACCATTGATTCTATCAATATCATTTTTTGTTTTTAAATGATCCTGATATATCATAAAATTGTTATCAAATAGATAAATAATTTTAAAATATTTTTTTATAGCTTTAGAAGTTGTAATTTACTTTCGACAGAAAAGGCATTTTCTTTTGACCCGCATATCATACAATATTGTCACATATTACATCTTCTTTTATCTTTGATTAGACAAAAGCCAAAAGGAACAACTTCTAATGTTGGTTTCTTTTTTATTAGAAGAGACAAACTTCATAACCCTTGCTTTGATTTGTTTTCAACAAATAATGCTTTAATCCTTTATCAACTATTTATTAAACCAATATTTAATTTGAGTTTGGGGTAATGATGAAATTTGGTCTACAGCAATTACCAAAAGAGATTATACAAATATATTGTTCAGCAGTCTCATTCTATCGCAAGATATATTTTAGAATTAGAGTGTTATTTATTTATTTATTATTATTATAGGGACGACCATCCCAATCCTAATCCAAACCCGTCAACCTAACCTGAATCCAACCCAATAAATAGAAGATTGTGTTGAGATTTTGAACTCATTTAATTAAATGGTCAACCTGTTTAATTAAATGGGTTGAGTTAGGGTTGAAATTTTTAATCCGTTTACAACCCACCAACCATTTAAAATTTTTAAATATTGTGTAATTTATATTTATTTAGTATTATTATTTAGTTAATTATTATATTTTGATTATTTTTATGGGTAAATAGCACAAAAGACAATCAGTTTACACTAAAATTCTAATTTGACACTGTGTTTTTTTTTCTCAAATTTGACACTTTGTTTTCCAATTTGTTACAATTCTGATCACTTGACCGGTCAACCAGGTTACATGCTGACGTGGCATTATGACGTGTCAGTTTTGATGACATGATATGCTGACGTGTCAAATTTGAATTTTTTTCCACAAAAGACACTAAGTTTTCACTTTTTTTCGATTTTGACACTAAGTTTAATTTTTTTCTTTTAGTTTTGACACTATGTTTTTTTTTCCAAATCGAACATCATTTTTTCCAATTTTGTTCAATGTTGACAATTTTCTATTTGAAACCGTATAAATATTATTTTAATACATTTAAACTGTATAAATATGTTTTTTTTAATTAAAACTCATAGTTATGTATAAATACAAGATTTTTTTTTTACATTCAAACCATAATTTTATGTATAAATATGTATTAGTTATATAAAAACCGTATTTTATATTAAATACGCAACTTTAAAATGAGTTTGGAGGTTTGGAGGCGTGTAGTCGATCAAAACTCGGATGTCAAGTTTTGCAACCCGTGAAATTTTTACATCTTATTAGAAGCTTATGGTTAGTTGATTCCCATAATATAACTAATGCATATTTATACATTATGCTTTGAATGTAAAAAAAAAACAAAAAAAAAACATCTTGTATTTAAATAAAAATGTGGTTTTTAAACGAAAAAAAGTATATTTACACGGTTTAAAATTTAATAAAAAAAAATATATATGTATACGGTTTCAAATGGAAAATGATCAAATTTGATAAATGATGTTCGATTTGGAACAAAAAAACATAGTGTCAAAATTGAAAGAAAAAATTAAACTTAGTGTCAAAATAAAAAAATAAAAAAATAAAAAAATAAAAACTGAAAACTTAGTGTTTTTTGTAGAAAAAATTTTCAATTTTGACACGTTAGCATATCATATAAGCATGTCACGCCATCAAAACTGACACGTCATCATGCCACGTAAGCATGTAACCTGGTTGACCGGTCAAGTGGTCAGAATTGTAATAAATTGGAAAACACAGTGTCAATTTTGAGACAAAAAAACACAGTGTCAAATTAGAATTTTGGTGTAAACTGAGTGTCTTTTGTGCTATTTACCCATTTTTTATTTATCAAAAACCATGGTAAGTAACTGTCACTGGATTCGAGTTGGTAAAAGTGATAGTCAGGTTGGGTAAAATTTAAAAATTAAACATTTATATTGTTTTATGGTTGTAAAGACTTGATTTGTGTTTGTGTTATTGGCTTATAAAATTATTGGTGTATTATTTTCAATCTTGAAAAATTATTATATCTTTTAAATTGTATGTATTTTATTTGATGGATTATTTGATTTTTAAGGATTTTTTTTGTGAAAATTTAAATGGATCAACCCGGGTTTAACATATTTAGTAAATAGGTTCGGTTGGAAAAATAATAGATAAGTCAACCCGATTCCAACCCATTTACTAAAAAAGTCGGGTTTGGTTGAGAACTCTCAACCCGTTTACCAAGTTAGGTTGGGTAGAGACTTTAAACATATTTATGTCCAACCCAACCCATTGTCATCCCTAGACTACTATTTGGTATTGTTTTTTCTTATAATTATTTTAAAAGTTATGACATATATTATGTTTTGCAAAACTATCTAAAAGCTAGTAACTAATAGCTGAAAGTTAGTAGTTAGCGGTTGGTAATGGGTAGCGTAAAAGCTGGAGCTTTTATTTGTGTAAAATTATTCGAGAAAAGTACATATGTTTTGAAATGTGTACAATGGCATAAAAAAACTAAAAATAAAAAGCTTCTAAATTTTTTCAAAAACTACTTGAAATGATTTTTGAATTATAAGTTTTTGGGTTAAAATAAAAGTTTTAAATTCATACTCATACACAAGACATATTTATTAATTTGAGTTTGAGTTTCATAAATGTAACACTATAGTCATGTAACTTTATGGTTTTAAAAGAATCAAATTCAGTGCATCTTATCGACATGTGTTGTAAGCGTGTGTTTAAAGAAAACCCAAACACAAAAGATGGATACAACTGAAATATTAGTTTATAAAGTTTTCAAAATAAATACTGGTTAACTTTTTGTTCTTTAAATATAAAGCAAAAGTAGAAAATGAAAAATATTATTTAGAGAATACTTAATTAGTTTTGCTAACGAATTATGCTGTAGCTCATATGTCCAAGACTCACATGTGAGACACACTTGCCATGATGTTTCATGTGTTTTGTGTTATTCTCATTTCTCACATGCTCCCACATATCGGTTCCTACGTCCTAATATAATAAAAATACTGTTCTTATTTTTGTAAATGAAATCAGCAATCGTAGCATCATAAATTTGATTAGGCAAGTGAAATTTATAAATTAAGAAATAATTTGGTTCCTATCAAATTGAATATCTTATTTGGTCTGTGATCCTTAATTCTATTCTTACTCAGTGAAGCTTGTTGATAAAAATATAGATTTAGACTCTTATCAATTGTCCAAATTGCAATGGTGACATCGAGATTGTGAAGCTCATTGGTAGATGGTGGAACTTGGTAGTCCAAATTCTAACTCGGCCGTTGATTGGTTAAAGTTGACGGATAACTCTAACTGAAATGTGGTGGAACGGAAATGTTTCGATCTAATGATTGTTACTACTTTTTTGGGTAGGTGCAGGGGCGGTTTTACTATGGTGCCCGTAGTGGCACCAACAACGTCTGGTTTTTTTGAACGCAGTGTAAAAAATTTCGAAATTTTTCTACTATCTTGACACTACTAAAATTTCCTGTGACACCCCTACTATGAAATCATTCGCTCCTGAGCAAGTGAAAATTTCAGAACTGTGTTCGCCCCTGAGCAGGTGAAAATTTCGGAACAGGTTTTTCTTTGTAACAACTATAGCTAGAAAAACATATATCTTTGACGACATTGTTCCGCCTTTCTTCGGAACTGCGTTCGCCCCTGAGCAGGTGAAAATTTCGGAACATGTTTGTCTTTGTAACAACTATAGCTAGAAAAACATATATCTTTGACGACATTGTTCCGCCTTTCTTCGGAACTGCGTTCGCCCCTGAGCAGGTGAAAATTTCGGAACAGGTTTGTCTTTGTAACAACTATAGCTAGAAAAACATATATCTTTGACGACATTGTTCCGCCTTTCTTCGAAACTGCGTTCGCCCCTGAGCAGGTGAAAATTCCGGAACAGGTTTGTCTTTGTAACAACTATAGCTAGAAAAATATATATTTTGACGACATTGTTTCGCCTTTCTTCTGGATTTGTAACAAATGTAAAAAATATAAGGTGGACTAGGACACTTGACTTCATAACCGTTCTCTAGCTATTATGTCCTTGTAATATGGTCTTTATTAGCTCATTGCTAGTAGTTTAATATAATTCCGTGTTCCAACAAAATCACAAAATAGGTCCATGTGTTTAACATATTTTTCTTTTTGGGTTTAGGTCAAAAGCAAATAGTTTTAACATTTTGGTGCTTATTAGAGTTTTTAAAATGTTTTTCGTCCATGTTGTAATATGATGAACACTTGGCAAACATAAAAATCATAAAGTAGAACCCAAGAAATTTAAGTGAAAATCTAAACAGGAAAACAACAAAGGCACTAGTATTAAAATCGATTATAATGAGAAGCTTACAAATTGCTTTCTTGAACCTAATGTCGACAGGGACAAAAAGACGTGAAAGGAATAATAAAAACTATATATTAAATTTTTTATATTTCAGTAAAAAAAATCAAACCATATGGATTATTTTTTAGTTTTCTCTATTAAATTTTTTTAAGACAATTACAGAAATGGTCCTTGTGGATAGTTTGTTATTTTGAATCAGATTAGTTTTTCAATTTTAACCTACATCCCCTAAAAACTATTTGTGTCACATTTTTGGTCCATACTTCGTCTAAGGTGCTGTTTGATTTTCTGAAGCAAAAATTCATGAAGTCTGCGGACCACCTCTGCAACCCTCTGCAGTAGAAGAGGTGGACCAAACGGCTGCAGAGTGTAATAAGAAGCGTGTTTGTTTTTTTAACATCTGCATACTGCTGCAGATATTAAAAAATTAAAATAAACTAATTTTATAAACCGAAAATAGTTTTTTAATACGTAAAATTTAATAATGTATAACATTTCGGCAACAATTAATGATATTTCAGTAAAAAATAATGATATTTTAACAAAAAAATAATGATATTTTAGTAAAAAAATAATGATATTTCATTAATAAATTATCATTATTGAATATAAAAAAACGAAAAAAAATTCAACAAGAATAAACAAAAAAAAAACGAAAAAAAAAGGTGAAATAGAATTTCAACAACATATAATCAAAATTACAGCAAGAAAAAAAGAAGAAGAAGAGGTTGGAAGAGGTTTGAAGAGGCAGTACAAGTGTTGCGCCAAACAGAACACGCGCAGAGGTTTTTGACTCCGAAGACTTCTAAAAAACAAACAGTTGCGAGATGAAAAGTGATGCGCGTGTGCTGCGCTGCGCAGCAATAAGAGGTTTGAAGATGTTTTTTTCAAAAAACAAACAACACCTAAGTAAACTGTTTATCTATTAACTTTTTCTAAATGACCAATATATCCCTATTTATCATCTTCTTCCTCACGTTTGTCATCAACTCATCATGTTCAAGAACCCTGATTATAATTAAATTAGGTATTTAGGACAAACCAATCTATTTTGTTTGAGGGTTTCATTTTCAATTAAAAATTTGAGAACGTTGGCAAAAGAACTTCATTCTTTCAAATCCTTCATTTCCCCATCTAACATGCTACGGGTAAAAAAGTTTCTTTTGGTTATTTAGAGGTCATATGGTTAACCGAAATCATTTGTGTATTGTGTTGAACTCGAGGTCTGAACGAGTAGGACATTTTGCTTTTTATTTATTATTATTATTATTATTTTTGTGAATGATGTGAGCTCTAAATGAATCGGATTCGACAAGTTTGATACAAAAATAACATCTCAGCGAATCAAATTCTTTGAACGGTTAACGAATCCTATATTCTCTGAATCACTAATGGATTTGAATCATTCAACACTAAGACTATGTTTGGCGTACTAGGTATTAGTTGAAAAGATAGCTGATAACTAAAAAGCTAGATGTTGTACGAAAAGTTAGCTGATAAAAAATAACGTCTGGTGGCATTCAGTTCAATCCACTTCTCAGTTTTTGGAAACATCGAGAATTTTAAGTAGGCAAAACAAGAAGATTACAAAGAATCTTCGGTCTTAAAGCTAATCAATCCAATAAAGCTTAAAATTTAAGGTGGCGTTCGGTTCATATAATGTTTCTGAAATAATTGGAATCTATTAGGAATTGAAATTTGTCACATATTGGAATCCAATTCTATATTTTGTTTGGTTGGAAGAAGTGGAATTTGAATCTAATTATTATATATATATTAAAGTTGTGAAGAAAAAGAACATTTATTTGTAACATTTATTTGGTAGAATTGGTCCCTTAAGTTACATTTAAGTTACATTCCTGGTCCTGTATTTTTGTATATATTACAATTGTTGTCCCTTAGCTACAGTACCTAAGGAGGGTGCTAACCACGGTACTCGTACTCGGTTAACTTCCTCAACCATGATAACCGCCACGTCTTATCTCTCGATCCTTCCTCGTTCCACTATCCCAGAAACCCACCGCCTCATAACCCCGCTGAGGTTTTCCTCTTCTTACACCTGATCGGATCGTCGGTGGTGGCTTTCTATATCCCTTTCATCTGCCTCCGTCTTTTCGAGACAATCACTCTCCACGCCTCGCCTACGACTTATCTGTATCTTCTCCTCCCACCTACCGACTCATCGATCTTCAACATCAGACTCATCACAGTTGAGACCCAAAACCCTCTCACCACCACCGCCCTATACGCCGCTGCTCACGATCGTCTTCACTGACTCACCCCGCTGCTTCTGCTCAGTCTTCAACCTTCTCCATTTTCAAACCGAGCGAAGCTTCCATCTTCGTTTCGAGGTCGTCGTCCTACCCTTATGTCGACTCGGCCTCTTCCTTTCGTTTTAGGGCTTTAGGAAGAGGGCAACGCCCAATGGTGGTGGTGCGGACCATCGCAGACAATACTGAAAGAAAGCAAGGATTTTTGTCGTTGATGAGGTAATTTAAAGTTTTTAAATTTCTATTGGTCGTTGGGAAACAAATAAAAGGGCCATTTGCTTCCATACAGGTATACCCTCCAAATTACCCACCCCGGCTCCATCTGCTACGCTGATTTCACTCGCATCTGAAAGAATCGGTAAGCTTATTTTTTTCATATCACTGCAACTTTAATTGTTACCTGTTTTCAAAGTTGCCGATTGTAAAACCTCGATGGTTGAGGACCATATCTGTTTCTTTAAATGTTAACTATTTTCCAGTTGTGTGTGATTTTGCAGTAGGTGGTGTATCTGTTCCTATGATGTAACCTTTTCTTTTCTGTTTTTGATTTATGTAGATTTTTCAGCTGTTTATGGGATTCAGAAAGAAATTGATCGACTTTGTTGATAGGTACGTATTTTCACTCTATCTATATTAATTTAGATTTTGGAATTCCTTCTATTTTCCATTCACAAAACTTTTTGATTTTTGAGGTTTATTCTTCTGCCTACTTCTAGCTGTTACATGTTTGACAAAATGACTTCAAGACATCCACACAACTGACCCGGAAATATTGACTTTGTAGTTTGGTTAATCGAAGAAGAGTGGGTGTTCCTAAGGATTTATGATTGTGCTCGGAAATGAAGACTCTGTTCCTAATTGACTTTGTCTTCTGCTTTATGGTTGTCATTTTGAGTTAAGGTCCAAGTCTCTATCCCGATATTGGCAAAAAAAAAAGGTTTTTTTCTCCTTCGGAGCCCAGAGCATGTACTTAACTTCATCATGTGTAGTTTGTGATTTGTACCTGTTTGAGTTACAGTTCTAGAAAGCAGGGGTAAATATGTCAAACTTTCTACAAATCTCCATACTAGAACCTTCATATTATATTGCCTTTTTTAGGTAATCTGTAAGTATTGGATATTAGTTTTAAACACTTAATTGTCTATTTTGTGTCAATATCAGGTTAATGGCAGTTTTTAGTTTGTTAATCAAGTATATGAAACCTCCAAACCAACAAAACATGACATAGAGGTTATTGATTACCTAAGAAATGAGTTATATAAACATGGTTGATTTTTTATTTGTTTGTAAGGAAAATAATGGAGTTGCATGACAACTTTATTGCATATGTTACAGATTGCTTCATGAATCATACATTATTTCACAAGGTCAGTTTCGTCTTTTTTATCATGTTGTTTATTTCAGTATTGATTACGAAAAAAATTTACCCTATTTTTTGTTTTCCTTTAGGCCCTAAAACAGGCATTTGAGGTTTTTTGTAATAAAATTGTGGTTGGTTGTGTGATTTTACTGTCACAATATCCTGAAAAAGGGGGCAGGGAGAAGTTGAGTGATGAGGCAATCGAAGAAACTTGGATAAGGTAGCCTCCACTATTTTTATTTGACATTGTTGGTATGAGATATAGTGATGACATGGACTTTGATTTTACAGGTAGTTAAGCTCCTTGCTTACATCAACAATAAAGACCTAACTGTGACTTCAAAAAGCAAATAAGTGAAAGGAAAAGGTGCGACATATTTCTTCTATTTGTCTTCTTTTAATGAGAATTAAAACTGATGTTGACACTATTTTTTCTCATAGGCTCAATTGCTTGCTACTGTTATGCCCTTCTCAGCTTAATTCATTAATTTGTGCAGCAAAGGTATCCTAAATTCCCTATTTCTTTAGCCTTTATATACATATTTTAAGCATCATCCCTACCTATTAGAACATTGTAATCTCATGATTGTATAGTTAGTTTCGTTTTCATCATTTTTAAGTAGATCAAGCATCAGAATATGTATTTTTTTTTTTCCAGATTTCTTTAACATTTTCTAGGTCTGAAAGAAGGTTGGGTGAATGGATGTAAAAGAGGGTCTAGATATAGACAGTTAAGGCAACAATATTTTATATGTAGAACAACCGTTGAATTGCATTCTTCTAATTGTAATGGCATTTGATTCTTCTATTTTATAAAGATAAAAAATTGTATTTTAAAATATTAATATGCTCCATAACAAACGATGATATCCCCCAAAGTCCCACCCACCATCATATGCATAGCGTTGTCCCTTATTTATTCCTGTTTTGGTGTTGCAGTTTGACCTTAGTTCAGCAAACAGGCTGCCATCTCCACGTGGGGGCACAAATAAATGTAGATTCATGTTTAAGTTTTTTAAATAATTTATTTTTCTTGAAAAAAATGCAAAAATAAAATTATGTTATCTCATTAGAATTATCATTTTTTTATTGTCCGCAATGTTATTTTACTTTTGAATCTTACTCTTTTTATTTTATTTTCAATCTTACTCATTAACAGTTTTGTGACTAAACTACCCATATATATAGTTTTTGTTCATGTTTCAATTTTCTTGCAAGACCAATCTGCCCCTGTACTCAAATATGCCACAGCGCAGTAAAATGGGACAGACTATGCAGTTTTGTTGCAAGACCAATCTGACCTTCATTGTTAAGCATTTATTATATATATATTTTTTGTTTTTTTATTGGATGCAGTTTCAATGGTGAGAAGCCATAAAAAAATTTGCACAAAATGTGAAAGGTATTCTATAGGAAGAAGGTTATGAGGAAAACTTAAAATTTCTACCAACGAGGGTTGATACATTGTGAAAGCAGGTGATCTTTATGCCTATCAAATATAAGTAGGATGGAAAAAAGTAAGAATGCGAGCAAGTAAATTGGTTAAGATGGAGATGTTGTCTTTTCCACACTTTTATAAGATATATATTACATGTAAAATCGATAATAAGATAGATAATTTATAGCTATATTTTACACAATTTTTTATTATAGACATGGTAAAAATAAGAAAATTTTATTTTTAGTAGTCGGTCACTTTTATGAGTCATTGTGGAGAAACAATATAGATATAGATGAAAAAATTTGGAGCTAATAAAATCTGGAAGTTTGTTGCTATTTTATGCATGTACATGGCGTATAATTTCATATTAGCAGATTTTCTGATGTAAAACAACAAATGGCTTTTGCAGGTAACACAATTAGATTTGGAGTGGAGTGGTATCTTTGCAAAAAAATAGGAGGACGTCAAGTTGGTATAGGATCATTGATGAATTTTTTTTTTGCCCCCCTCGCCGGCTAAAAATAAGTCGTGCCTATCACACCATTAGATGTCATGATTGTTCAAGTGTTGGAAGGAAAGTGGAATCATAAAAGGACTAAATTATCCAATAATAATTACAATCTTTTGGTTTGATTTTTTTTTTTGTACCTAAACAATATTGTATTTTCAAGATTTTGTGATTTTTGTAGGTATTGGGAGAACCCGGGAGTGAAGGATCATCAGAAACATGGAACAATCCGTCAGCTATAGATTTTGCTTTTGAATGTCTTAATTTCTTAAGCAACTGGTTGTACTGCAGTCAGATTCATACAAAACTGTTGTTGACAGTTGCAACATGCATAAATCAGAGAAGGTCATTGTCATCCTTTTCGTCCGTATTATATAAAACTTTATCATAGCATTGTACTTTTGCTTCTTTCTAATATAACATTGTACTTCATCAAACACCTTTGACCCATGCGGAGCATGGGTTCACCCTCTAGTTTCATATTATGTTTGTTTGGTTGGAAATGGAATTGGAATAATGTAAAATGACAACATTTCCCTTCTTGTATTTTTGCTTAACTTTACTTTGTCTTATAATTATATGTAAAGATATATTACAAAAATTATATAAATAGTAAATGGTGGTGGTGATGGTGGCGACGACGGTTGTGTTGGTTGAAAATAAATGAAGTTTGCAATCTCATATTTATTGGCTTAAAATGAAATATAAAATTGATAAAGGGTATTTTATGTTCAATATACATTCTTTTGGTTGTGAAAGTAATTTGCAGGGTTAAAGACACGCGGGTTGTGAGTTTGGGTCAGATTATGTTCGGGTTAGATTCATATCCGGTTTCTGAAGTATAAAGGAGAGAGAGAGAGAGAGAGAGAGAGAGAGAGAGAGTGTAGAATGAGTCATTCAGTCGTTTTCAGATCAAAAGATTAGGGTTTTCTCTCATAGTGTTCTTCATCTTCCCTCTCGGTTTTCATCTGTTTAGTTTAGGGTTTGTATACATTTTATGTTTACATAACTCTTCGTAGTTGTTTCTATTATTGAATAGACTAGGTTGAGTGAATAATACTGAGGGTAGATTAGGTTCTTTGTAGTGAGTTTTGAGTTGTAAGTATCTTAAAAACCATCTGTTTTTAATCTTCAAATGGTATAAGAAATGATGATGTTGGGAAAGTTTGATTTGTGTGTTTCAACATGGTATCAGAGCGGTAAGGCTCTTGTTCATCAATCCTGAAGTTTCGTTGGTCATTTGACGTTGTTTCCATGACGATCGTTTGAAAGGTACTTTTCATTTGTTTTTTAATCCTTGTAGTTGTTTCACAGTTGTTTTTCAACTGTGAAAGATTAGGGTTTTTTGTTCTTTAGGGTTTCCGCTTTAATTTCCCTAAAGTGAAACGTTATTTTGTTAAGATCTTGGTACTGCGAGTTTCTTGGTTTGCTTTTGTAGATCTTTGAGACTGTTCGCTGTCTGTGGTGTTTTGTTAACAATACTTGGTTGATCGTCTTAAGATCAAATTGATTAATCCCTCTAATCTGAAATAAATCTCTTGAGGTCGGATTTCATCACCGATAAACTCTTAAAGAGAACGGATTCAGAGAGTCAATTCTTGAACATCTCTGCTAATTGCACTTTGAGGGTTTCTTGTTCATTTCTTTCTTTTTTAGCTGTAGACGTGGGAGATCCTGGTGTCTTGTGTACACCAGTTATTGTTTGTTCAAATTGTTTTTTGTGCACTGTGTTGATTGTCTTGGGCCCCGACATACTGTGGTGACCATCTGGACATTAAGTCGACACAGCTGTCTGTATTCTATCTTGTTTGATTTCTTTGTTATATCTGTTCATCATGACTGGTGAAATACCTGAAGGGAGTGGTACTCCTAAAGATAGTCATGTTGATTTTGATGATCCCTTATATGTTCATCCTTCTGATAATGCTGTAACTTCTATTATAACGATTAAACTAACTGGAAATGAAAACTATCGTTTGTGGCATAGTTTTATGTCTAGTGGTCTTAAGGCTAGGAATAAATTAGGTTTTATGGATGGTACTCTTACTCTTGAAAAAACTGAATCTTCTAAAGCTTCTAAATGGGAGCGTGTTAATGCTGTTGTTTGCAATTGGATTTTAGGGTCAATTTCTAAAACTATATATGCTAGTCATGTATATTGTGATAAAGCTCGTGATATTTGGGATGAGTTGTTTGAAAATTTTAATAAGGCTGATGGGTCTGTAATCTTTAATATTCATCAACAAATTAATACTTTAAAACAAAATGGTTCTTCTCTTTCTGATTATTACAATAAACTTGATTCCTTGTGGAAAGAGTTTGATGGTTTAACTAGTTTAACTGAATGTGTTTGTGAGGCTGCTACTAAGCTTAATGATCATTCTAAGCTGATGACGCTAATGCAGTTTCTAAGTGGTCTTGATGATATTTATAATCAAGTCAAGAGTCACATTCTTTTGATGGAGCCCTTACCTAATGTTAAAACTGCCTTCTCTATTCTTTCTAGAGAAGAGTCTCTTCAAAAGAATGGCTCTTTAAGTTCCACTACCTCCTCAAAACCATAGGTTTCTATTTTTTAATAGTAAAGTTAATGATTTTAAAAGGAGACAAGGTCAAAATAGATTCAAAAATCAGGGGTTACAATGCAAACATTGTAATCTTAAAGGTCATACAATAGAAAGGTGTTATAAATTGATTGGATATCCAAAGGATTTTAAACCTAGGAATGAAATTAATAATCAAAATAAGTCTTTTTCTGTGAATTCTTCTTCTGCTGGATCTAACAGCAGTGTCACGGCTTCTTCTGAGTCTGTACTTGGCAGTGATGCTCACTATCTCACTAGTGAACAATACTCCAAGTTTCTTCGTCCCATTAATGAGAGTTCTACTAGTGATGATGTATCTGCTACTGCAAATATGGCAGGTACATCTATGTTTCAGTTTAGTAATTCTTTTGTTACTTCTAATAATTCTCAAAGTTGGATTGTTGACTCAGGGGCAAATCAACATATGATAGCCTCTGAGTCACAACTTAGAGATGCAGTGGATGTGTCTAGACTGAATCTTCTTGTAAAATATCCTAATGGTTCTTCAGCTCCTATAAACAAAATAGGAAATATTCAGTTGTATTCACATCTCACCTTATCTGATGTGTTTGTTGTTCCAGACTTCAATGTTAACCTTTTATCTGTACATAAACTTCGTAAGGATAGTGGCTGTGAAGTTGTTTTTTCTTAACATAATTGTAAAATTCAAGATTCACTATCAAAGGAGATGGTGGAGAATGGTAGAGAATCTGGGGGATTGTATTTTCTTGACTGTCTTCCCTCAGGTATTCCATCTAATATAACTAATTCTAGGTGTTGTGTCTCTAAACTGACTTGGCATAGTAGACTTGGTCATCCAGCTGACCAAGCTCTAAGTTCTTTAAAAGAAAAATTAAAACTTGGAAATGGGTCCCTTCCTCCTTGTGATGTCTGTCATAAAGCAAAACAGACAAGATAATCCTTTCCACATAGTCAGCATAATTCAACTAAACTAGGTGAATTGATTCACTTAGATGTTTGGGGACCTTATAGACTTGCATCTGTTGAAGGTTTTAAGTATTTTTTAACTATTGTGGATGACTTTACTAGGGTCACTTCGGTTTTTCTTTTAAAATCTAAAATTGAAGTTTTTGATTGTTTTTAATATTTTGTTAATATTCTTCTAAATCAGTTTAATGTTAATATTAAAGTAGTACGTTTAGATAATGGAAATGAATTTGTCAATAATCAAATGAAGTTTTTTTTTTGAACGAGGTGTCATACATCTACACGGGGCTATCTCAGACTCAGCCTTTCTCTTGCGTAGAGGAAAATTTTCTGCACTTCCAATATTGCCATTGCCCACAGAAGGTTGGGACATTGATTTACCAAACAAATTTGATTGACCAGTGTGCCAAATCATCGTTGATTCAACAGCAATAAGCAAATAAGTCAAATCAATGAGGGTCACGTCGTGGTCCATCATATAGTACTCTCTAATGAACTCACTATATGATTCGGGAAGCGACTGAAGAACCAAGTCAACAGCCAACTTCCTTGAGACATCGACACCCAACATTCCCAATCTATCAATATGCAACTTCATATCCAAGACATGAGCACATACAGACTTTCCATCTTTGTGTCCTTTTGTCAATAGGGCTTGAGTGACTTTGAACTTTTCAAGTCTTCGAACACGTGGGTTAGGGAGAACTATTGGAAGAGGTGGAGGAAGTGAAGCATGATTTCTATTTCCACAATCCAATCGTGGAACATCATCTTCAAGTGGAAAACTTTTTCCAACGGATTCGGGAAAACCATAGTTGTTAGACTTTGACATCTACAAAACGGGAGAAATTCAAGTTAGTTGATAAAATCCTCAATATAGCACCCAAATGAAATATTGAGGCTAGGATCCAACACAATATTCTACAATTTGGAAGAGGGATTCCGTAATCCAAATTGCAGAACATTTGAAGGTAGGTAAATGACGATTTACCAATTTCCACCATGAAAAACGAAAAAGAAAATTAGGTTTTAGATTAATTGAAACTCCTAGATCTTTTGAGATTCATTGAACTTTTCAATGACATGTTTAAATCTCGATTATGCCCTTCAAGTTTGTGACTGAGATGCCGAGGATCACAAACAAGGTGTGGATAACCATGCAAATTAGCTTGGTACTCTCGAGGATGTCATCACCTAATCAATGTGTCGGTTAACCACATACGCTCCATTGATCTATGATAATCTACTAGCTACCCATTGTCATCCTTCATTGGTCCCATATTAGTGTGCCGGTTAACCACACACGCTCCACTAACGACCAACAAGGTGCAATGTGCAATTTCATGGATTAACACCAACTCCACATTTTTTCCGAAAGTAACTAAGATTTGGGAATTTATAAAAGTGTTTAGTTACTTCGTATTTATTTATACTTATAATGGAAAGTTTGTGTCCTATCCTACCCGTTCGGCTAACGATCCTCCACTAGTCAAGAGTGCGGTGGGTAAGAGTGGATACCCATTCAATCGCCATTTTATAGGCAATTTCCTTAAACACCCCTTATAGACCAGTTTCGTGAATGAGGCCAACTAACGGTAAGACTGGCATTTACTTATACATATATATAATATTAAACTTTTAATTCTATATAATATAAGGGTGTATTTTACACTTTTAAAATACTATAAGGTTTAATCTATTAATAAATTAGACTTTTAATTTGATTAACTTAAACCATATAATTATGGATTTATTAATTAGCTCTTTTAATTAAACTCTTAATTGAATTAATAAAACCATAAAGGTGTAAATTGAACTTTTCAAAATACTAGGGTCTTAGAATTTAATATTTTAAAATTAATATCTTTTAATTAAATTTTAAATTCCAAAACTTGAGGACAA